AATATATAATATTATAAATTTTTTAAAAATAAAATTTAATATTAAATTCATACACGACTCGTTTTCTAGACGAGTAGAGTTAAAATTGAGCTTAACTTGAATAATTACAAAGGACACACACTGTGACCGCCCTAGACTTACGGTACGTAAGAACATCCTGTTCTCGGCGCACAAGCGAAACGAATAGGCTTGACACAAGCTTCTTCGTGTTTGGCTTGTGGATGGGGCTTACACTTTTAAGTCATAGCACCATCATTGTAATAACAAATTAATTATTCCAACTAAAAATTAAGAAACAAGAATCATCGAAGGGGGGTATTGGGCAACTGACTCCTGACTCGTGAGTGTCTGTTTTAAAGAAATAAAAAAAAGATTAATTTTTGAATGTTTAATCCCCTTTTTATTCCTTAATTTGATTATTTTCTATCAATTTTGTTCCTCAACTTCATTCCTTTTTTTTTTTTTTTCCTTAAAGACCCAGGACTTTCTAGTTCCTTCTGCTTTTGAAAGTTTTCCCTGCCTCTTTATTTTGCTCTCCTACAATTGCGCTTACTTCATGTGCTCTCCTGTAATAGCGCTTACATTTGTGTGGCTGTGTGAACAGCTATTTTGCACTTTGCCTTGTAAGTGGCAGTTAACATCTCTCAATGGCTGTCTTCCATTCTGCTTTGTGAATGGTAGCCAACCACTCTCAATACAATAGTCCAGGGCTTCTTAGTCCCTTCTCCCTTTTTTCCTGCCTGTAACTGTACTTGCATTTGCATGGCTGTAAACAGCTGTCTTGCGCTAGAGTGAATCGGAGAGATACATATATATATATATATATATTTTTTTTTTTTCTTTTAACGTGAGAAACTATGGGAATGGGTAATTTCTCCGAGATGTTAGTGAAAATCGATTTTTTTGATTAATTAAATGTAAACACCTAAGATTGCAAATAAATTATTAAAGTTGAAGAGCCGGTTTGAATCGGTGATAATTATTTAGAAAAAAAAAGGTGATGATTTTTTTTTTTTTGAGAAAAAAAAAATAGTGATGATTGTGTCTACAGTCTCTGGCAGAAGGCCTGAGGCACCAGAACAGGAGGCTGAGAGAAGGTTACTAACATCCAACAGAAATTATTATTTTAAAAGTATCGATAGGGACAATACAAAATTTAAATTTATTAGCGTGATTTATATTTTAGTATTAAATTAATTAATATATAATATTATAAATTTTTTAAAAATAAAA